TCACATTACATGCAAATAATCTTAACTTTATCCTTCCTTTTTCTTCACATGGTGAGGGTCCCACACGTTTCCCACTAACTTCTCCTTTTTGCGCACCATAGTTTGCATGTAATAGTAACTTTCACATGTACATCTCATATTCCACATAGCCTAACTTTTCTTGATTAGTTAAAATCCATTTAACTTCAAATATTGTAATTACACATAAATCCTCAAACTTTACCTTTTTTACCATGTGACCTATGAACTTTTCATTCTTCACAATTTGGTCCTCCCTAGAGTTATTAAATTTCAATTTTCTTCTATCTTTCTTCCATTACACTTGTACAAATAGAATATCAAATTTGCACCTCATCAAGGTGTCGTCATAATATTTAAATATATACTTACCCGCTCTTGCTCCATTTAATAAAGACGCATGGGCCCCACTAACATTGTTTTTCTTCTAAATATTTCTTATTTCCACTCCCCCACTTAGACAAATTTTGCAAATCACACTTTCTTTGGGTAATATATCCAACTTGACATCAATATTCTTTTAATATTATTTTATTAATAAAATATTATTTTATTTTAAAATTTTTCACTTGTCTCTTCAGGACCCAAAATGTCTCACTTTGTCCTGGTTCACCTCGGATTCACCTTTTAACTTGCTAATTTATCCTTGAAAAAAATATTATTTTTTAATTATTATTTTCTCACATACGAAATATTCTATTCCAAAATATTCCTTTCCTCCATCATCGCTCTTTGGCATTTAAATTTATGTCAATCGACTCTTAGTCTTATCGATAAGGTCATATAGGCTTCTATACGAGGGTACGAGGTGTTACACCATACTATCGTATAAGAGCAAATAACATCTCACCGACGAGACGGAGGGTTGATGGACGTAAATTTAAGTGCGAAAGACTAGTGATAGGTGAAAGGAATATTTTTGAAATAAAATATTTTGTGCGTGAGAAAATAGTAATTAAATAATAATATTCTTATCGAGGATGAATTAGCATGTTAAAAGGTGATTTTGAGGTGTACCGAGATAAAGTGAGACATTTTAAGACACGAGAAGACAAATGAAAAACTTCACAATAAAATAATATTAATAATATTTTATTAATAAAATAATTCTAAAATATTAATATTTTAACCGTTATCAAAATTAGTCATGAAGGAGGATTATATGATTAATCGAAGTGGGGGAGATGAAGTAAGAAAGGATTTTGAAGAAAAATGACATTAGTAGGGCCTGTGTGTCTTTATTAAATAAAGCTAGTACAGGTAAGTATATATTTAAATATTATGATGACGCCTTGATAGGATGCAAACCTTATATTACATTTGTACACATGTAAAGAAGAAAAATAAGAGGCAATTGGAATTTAAGAAGTGTTGGAAGGACTAAATTATAAAGCATAAAAGTTTAAAGGGTCACATGATAAATAAGGAAAAGTTTGAGGACTCATTTGTAAATTCAATATTTGAAGTTAAATGGACATTTACTAATCAAGGAAGGTTATATTGTGTGAAATATGAGATGCGTATCTGAAATTCATTATTTCATGCAAATCATTGCATTGCAAAAAGAAGGAAGTTAGTGGGAAACATGTGCTACCCCACCATGTGAAAGTTGATAAAGAGAAAAAGGAATAAAATGTATTTAAATAGGAGGAAACCATGGTTTGGCAAGGATATCCCATAGTAAACAATATAAAGATGGTAATGTGATTTGAAAAGGAAAAGGTATAATCATAGCATGAAATGTTATTGGATGATAAGGTGACATTAAAAGGAAATGAAAATGAAATGCGAGTGAAATATATCAAAAGAGAACACCATGTGGACCAATGCATGGACAAGGCAATCTAACCAAAGAATAAA